TGGTGGAGGGTCACAGAGATGCGCTGGCTAATCCCAACTACATTTCCTACCACAGAGAGCACCTCCGTGGCTGATGCTGCAGAGGTAGGATCTCCAGGCCTCCCACAAAAGGCTGTGAGAATCACTGCCGCTCAGTGGTGCTGTCTGAATGCAGAGGGGGCAGGGAAAAGGGGCAGAGGGTGTAAGTGAGGAGAGGCAGCACGTCTCTGCCCCTGTGATCTACCTAACCTCTTATCCCCTGATCCCCAAACACTCGATAGCCCCAGCACCTAGCTCCCCCTGCTTCCCATCTCCCCCAGCCACAACCTTTCAATGTCTAGTTTCCTTCCAAAATACCTCCTTGTCCCTTAACCTTTAATCCCCCAGAACCTAGCGCCCTGGGGAATTTGGGGAGGGGAGGAGAGGAGTTACCAACTCCATGGACACTCCCCCTGCAGGGAACAGTTCCAGGTAAGTGGGGGAGCACAGCCCTGGGGCTGGTGGAAGATGGGGGGCGGGGACAGGTGTCTAGAGTGAAGCTGGGGCCTGGCCCAAGTGTCTTTCTTCTTTGAGTGATAGTCCCTATTGTATTCCATGAGGATTATGCACATACACTGTGCCCGGAGCTTTTCAAAGTAGGAGTGTCCATTGGTCCACGCATGTGCCCTTGTACCACCTTGTGGGTTCACCCCAGGCAATAAGGGGTGGGACAGACCGACCGCATCTTCAGTTCCTTCTCACCGCCACAGGATCCAAGTCACTGCTTCTGCTGTCTTCTCATCCTGAGTGCTGCACTGTCCAATCTTTCCAGGAAGACTGTTTTTATTCTTGTACATAGGATTTTACTATTTTTGTAGTAATTTTCTTGTTTCTAGAAGGGAACTTCAGCCAGGCAGAGAGAGCATCTGGAGGAGTTTCTCCCTCTTCCTTCTCCCCACCTGTGTCCCATCAGCTCAGTAACCAGGACTGCAGCAGGGAGGAGGGGCTGATCGGGGCTTCTCCTCCTCTGTCTGGGGTTTGCTTAGACCAGGCAGAGCCAGAGGGTCACTGACCAGCTGATGTTTGGCTGCTGCTGGAGCCTCACCCCAGCGATGGGCAGCTGGATCCTTGGGAGCCAAATGCCCCTTATGTGTGTGGGAATGAGGAAATGGGTTTGTCACCAGGGCCAGCCCTAGTCAGGGCGCTGAGAGAATTTCCCTGCTGTGCGGAGGAGTCCCTGATGTCCAACATGCTGTTAGCGCCACATGGAGCATTTTCCACACTGAGAACATCTCAGAGGTTTCTTTCCTGTTCGGATTTGCGGATGCCTGATACCATGGAAGCACCAAATGAAGCTGCCCCCACATTCAAGGTCCCGCTGTTTTCTGTATCGCTGAAGTGTGAGCTCGGATTGAATCTTTTCCCGCAGTAAAGCTATTCCTAGGGTTGCTCTCACCCTTGTGGGTTTTCCGATGTTTAGTGAGGTTTGAGCTCTTACTGAAGCTTTTCCCACAAGCAAGGCATTCATGAGGTTTATAGCCCGTGTGGATTCTCTGATGTAAGATGAGGTTTGATCTGTGCATGAAACTTTTCCCACAGTCGAGGCATTTATAGGGTCTTTCTCCCGTGTGGCTCGCCTGGTGTCTAATAAGAGATGATCTGTGTGGGAAACTTTTCCCACAGTCCAAGCACTTATGGGGTCTCTCGCCTGTGTGGGTTGCCTGATGTGTAATAAGGGCTGATCTCCGTGTGAAATTTTTCCCACACTCCAAGCACTTATGGGGTCTCTCTCCTGTGTGGATTGTCTGATGTCTATTACGGGCCGATCTGTGTGTGAAACTTTTCCCACAGTCCAAGCACTTATAGGGTTTCTCTCCTGTGTGGATTCTCTGATGTGTAACAAGGCCTGATCTCTGTGTGAAAC